AAACGAGTTTTTTATTTAACGTACTTTGGAAGGTAAGGTATAAAAAATAAAGGATAAAATACTTCTGCTATCGACCGCTTTTTCACAGACCCGCTCAAAACGATTTAATCTGATGAGGATATAACATGTTTTGAGGCGATAGGTCTACTGCTATATAGGCGCCTATTTCGTCCTATTGGGACTCATCAGTAGCATAGTTGTCGAGTAGTAGTGGATTAAATCGTTTTGAGCGGGTCTGTGAAAAAGCGGTCGATAGCAGAAGTATGGTTCATTTTAAAAGCCGCAACCTCGACTGCCGGTCACCACAAAGTCAGGTAATACCATCATCTGACTTGGGGTGCTTAGTTTTTACTCGGCGTCGATTCCTTTAGAGGATTATTTAACCTCAAGGGATCGACGGAACCGAGGGAGGGTGCTACTGATGAGTCCCAATAGGACGAAATAGGCGCCTATATATCACTAGACCTATCGGCTCAAAACATGTTATATCCTTATCAGATTAAAGGATGACGTTTTTGGCGTCGAGCGATCCCTGAGGGATAGGCAATGGATCTCTCTTGATCTAGAATCGTTTGAGGTGAATGGGTGCGTATCTAGCCTCAACCACTCGCCGTAGCCTATCGGTGTATCAAGTCAGTCCTGCTATCATGCCAGACAAGTTGAAACCAATTCGCTGAGCCTCGGAGATCTGGAAGGCTTAATCAGCCTTGAGCACGGTATCGAACCATCGACCACGTGTGTGTCACAAATAGTACCTCTGACCAGTGCGTCTCATGCGCAGAAACCGTTATAACAGATTTTCAATATCCCTACGGCTTGTAAATTGGACTAGCTGTTTATCGAATTCTCAAAATCAAAATCTTGTGCTACTGTCACCTTCTAGGGAGGTGCACTTTTCTGTACGGATTGCGAATATGGCATTTACAGTTACTCATCTACTCGCAGACATTTGATTTTTCGCTTAGTTTGCATGACTAATCTGTCTATTCTAGGTTAGGGGGATTCACGGATACCGGACTGAAAGGCCTAGTGGGATTTGATTCTCAGCAGTGTCTCCGAAACTCCCAAGAGTGAGATATTGGTGTTAGAAAACAGCTTGAAATAAACGAATGCCAATTCAATGTCATTCTCTCAGCCACATGAATACTATTTGCTGACGAATGGCGGCAACTGGGAAACAGCGTTAACAGAGCTTTTGCATCACCAGGGGAAGAAATTCTTTCATTCCATTTGAGAGTAAAATGATCTTATGGGAATCGTGCCTGACCGCGCAGGATTCTTCATGAGTGATGAAGACGAGCCACTGAATCATTCGTGTTCCTTGAACGTGACTTCATTGAGTGTGCATCAGAGTGATTCCCCTCTGTTGCACTGTGGAACAAAGCTTTTTTGACGAGCGTATTGAGAAATATCCCGAGAACGGTGACCAAGTGGTTAGTAATGAAGACTATGAGGAGCACGCTGCTGGTCCGACTCCCTCCGCCAACGCTCTCTTGTAATCAGTCAACGAAGGTTTTACGGGACGTTTCAGCTTGAGATGCTATGAAGTCCAGTGGAAATGTCGACCAGCTCAACACGCGAAATGTTCGAAAACCCTTATGGAGGGTGTATACGAAGAAACGAGTTGAGTGCGAGAAGTCTGGGAACCCAGGAAAGCTTGAGATAAGATGATGCGTCGTGTAAAGTGATCCTAAGAGATGATTCCATCACTCAAAGCGCCTAACCAAAAGAAAACTGAATCTGAAATAGGGTTTATTCATTGCATCTTCCTGCTAAAGGGTACTTCTTCACTGTCATCTTTTTGAGTCACTGGAAGCATCCCCGCTTCCTTCGTTGTATTCATGGATATCGTATCCTCCCATTTATGATTCATAACCTCATATAAATTGGACGGGAAAGGGTACCTCTAGGTTCTCCTGAGGAGGAGATCTAATTCTTTTTTTGAGAGTTCTAGTGATCATTCAACAGCCTAAATCTCGGTGATTATCAAAATAAATGTTGTTTGTGCAAAAGCCTGCTAAGAGCGCTGCAGCAGTAAAAATAAGACCGCGTTTCACACTCAACGATCAGTTCTTGCTTAGCTATTAGGCTTCACTAGTGAGTCACAATCCTATTATCGGGACGCAATTTTCAACCTTTTAAAGAGAAAGCCTTTTTCTCCGGATTTTCCTCGGATTTTCGGTAATATTTGATAGCTCATATCTCGACGATTTCAATAATGTACTTGGCTCTTGTAAAGGTCTTCATAGACTATAGCAGCGAAAATAAGATCACGTCCCAGAGCCGCTAAATTCTACTCAAACAGCAAGCCACACATCTTGAGTCCTTCGGGACCGCGGACCCACCTCGTCTTCATCTCTAACCCTGGGGTGACAATGCTGGACGGCTGCTCCGTCTCCTCACTATCCCTGACCTGCAGCTTGGGAACGCATTGAATGCATAGTTTTATCATTGATCGCATTATTGCTGTTATTTCGCTACTTATAACAACATAATATATTTACGTGTAACACAGGGAAATAGCAAAAAAATTGAAATAATATAATGCAACGCTGAATGCGCCCCCATGGGGGGGGGTTAGAGGCGCAAGGGAGGTGGGTCCACGGTCCCGGAAAGGGTTGGGCGGCGAAAAATCGGCGCCTAGTTTAGATTTAGTTTTAATTTAAATTCAACAGCGCTATAAAAAAAAGCTTCTTTAGAAAACAAGCAAGGTATAGGAGTCGCCGAGACTTAAGCGGCCGTATGATTACTAGAAATCTGAAAAAGACGCAAAAGGCCTACTCTTCAAAGCTTTGGAAAATGCATCTCAATAACAAAAAAAAAACCCCTATTTTTACAGAGGAACATAGACCACAGAGTAAATTTACGTTATTTACAGAGCAGTCATAGAACAATAGAAGTATTGTTTACAGAGGAATATGGGTTTCGAATTATTGAGTTATTTACGAAAAAAAAACAAGTAGTACCCATAGGGAAAACGCATTTGGAGAAAAACCGTACACTGAGAGTATCTTATACAAGGACTCCACGTGCTGAAATTAGATTTAAAAAAACCATAATGTGACCAAAAAGGGACGGGTTAGCGCAGTTGTTAGTGATGGAGTGTTTTAGAAAAAGGATAAGCAAGGCGTTGGGTTCAATCTCCTGCCTCAACACAAGCTTGCAACTAGTCTCTTGAACACCTAAAAAAGCCTTAGTTCGGAAACCTTCAAGGTTGCAAAGAGAACGTCTCGCCCAGCATTCTACAACATTCATGAAGATGAAATCCTCAAAAAACCAGAAGGAACTTATGTTCGGTTCATTTCTGAAGATCTTCAAAAGGTAAAGGTAGGATGGCATAGTGATTAGTGATTGTATAAGGAGGCAAAAGAGATGAAGTAAGGGCTGGTTCGATTCCTTCCCCAAACACTTCTATGATCAATCAACGGATCGCTTTCACAAACGCCTTGGCTCGCCTACTTCCAGGCAGAGAGTTTCGTCTCAACCAGCACGATGGACGGATCTACCAATCATTTGTGGGACCCCAACAAAAATGAAGAGGCGTGATAGCGGAGTGACTAGAGAGTTTATTACTGCGGTTGGAAAGAAAGTTCTGAGGCACTTTGATAAACATGAGATAACTCCTATGCATGTCATGGGTAAATTACAGTCTCTTGCGAGGGACTTTCCCATTGAAGGCCTAGATATTACTCGTCTTCATTTTATTTTTATCACAGGCCCCGCCATATCAAAACACAGGATCGAAGCTCGCGTATTGATGCAGCAAGACAATGCCAGACTGCACACTGTCAAAAAGACCAAAGACAGATTTGATGATAAAATTGGACGGGGTCTAAAATCTGCCGAGTTCCCCATTAGGTCCAAGTTTTGTTCCATGCGACTGTGGCCGTTTCCCAGTTCATTTTTGAAGGAACAATTCAAAACTTTGACCTTCCATAAATCTCGGCATTATTAACTGATATGTAAAAAGTCGAGAAAACCTATCTTGGCTAGCTGACGCGATGTTGTTAAAGTGATAGTAGTAGTTCAGCTGACGTTTTGGCGACTCGCCTTCTTCAGAGCCTGGACGTACGTATTACTAGACTATTTAAATCTTATCTTTATATACCGCCTGGTCAGCTAAAAAACTTTTAATTCAGAGAAATATGTTTAAAAAAGGTCTTCCGAGTCATTCAGGTAGTCTCATGATACATACCTTCAGGCTCTGAAGAAGGGGTCGCCGAAACAGCCGAACTTCTGCTACCACTACTTCACCAACTTCGCGTCAGCTAACCAGGATAGGTTTCTCGCTGGGTTGAATCGTTCGATGAAGTTCGAGAAGCACGTCAAGAGATCTTTGACTCGAAGACGAAGGAAAATCTTTGAATGATACTCTAAGGTGATCCGAAACTTGGAGGGCCGATGGCACAAAGTCGTAGAAAGCGATGGCCTATATTTTCAAGAGTACAGAACTTCCATTCCAATCTGATAGCAGGCCAAAGTGATAAGGTAAGCGTCGGTGTGATCCCCTCCGCCACCATTCTCTTACGATCGAAAGCGAACGCCTAGCGACGAGTCGAACAGCATTGTACGACATCCACAAAGAGGATGAATCTTCGAGCAAGGCAACAAATCGACTCCAATGCAGAGTGCTGGGATCCACAGAATGACTTGTGATAACGAGTCGTGTGGATTGATAAGTAAAATAAAAGCGAGTTGGCAGAAAAAAGCCCGTGGTGCAATTGGTTAGCACGTTTCACCGTAAAGGTTGGAATGCGCGGGTTCGATTCCCATCTGAGGTTCCAAGTTTTGCACATGACTCCATATTATTAGGCTTGGGGTAACGAATCATATGACCGAAACCAGAGCGAAAACGCTATTTCGTTCACTCAATACATTATCATCGTCTGGGTAAGTTCTGGTTTTCAGATACGACCATGACCAACGTCCTGATGGAAACATCTCAAAAACAACAACAATGCCTTAGGAATTTAAAAATAAAAACTGTAAAAATTAATGATTTCAAGAGAGAAAACAACCTCATAGTCCTTCCTTCAACGATATTTTACCCACCTGTCTTATGTCTTATTCGGGATATCAAGCGCACCTCAGGAAGAGCACCGACCCGAAGGTCCGATTCCTCCAGAAAGGCCCAGAGGAAAAATATGATGCTCATCAGATTCCTTAAGCGAGGAAGACCCACTGGGCTACTTTTGCACGCAATAGGAAAGGATGAAAGCTTAACTGGCGGCCGCTCGCGTCGCTCGACGATCAACTGGACGACAGTGATACAGGTGATTTCAGCGGCTTGATTGAATTCGATAACACATCTTGCGCCTTTTAAGATGTCCTTAATGGCACTCATAAAGTGGTAGACACCTGTTTCGGCTTTTCAGCCTCGTCAGTCTTTCGGTTTAGTAGCAGTTCCGCGGGGAGACATCCTCTAGATGGAAGAACCGACGCCGAAATACTTACACGCGCCGTCAAATGGTAAAATCACCAAATGCGCTGTGTTATCTACTCGACTGTTCGTGGCTTATGACACATGATTTTCATAGCTTTTGTTTCAAGTGTTTCTGGGACATCGCTCAAAGTCCTGCACTGTATAAGTGCTATAACAGACCTCATGAAAGGCTCATAAAAATATTACCGGATTATCCTGTAATGATATAACATGTTTTGAGCCATGGAGGTCTAGGTGCTAAACAGGCGCCTGTTTCGTCCTAACAGGACTCATCAGTAGCGCCGTCCCTCAGTTCAGCCGATCCCCTGATGTTATACTTTTCTATGAAGGAATCGACGCCGAGAAATAGACGACCGCAAGTCAGACGATGGCATTACCTGACACTGTGGTGACCGACACTTGACTTTGTGGCTTTTGAAATGAAACGAAAGATTTTCGTGCTTTGTACGACTTCTCACAAAAAAACTCGAGACGAAAGATAAGCTCAATAAAGTTTTATGTATATAAAACTATTTTTTATATTAGATTTTATTGATTTATTTTATTTCATTTATTATTTTATTATTATTATTTTACTAGTATTATTATTTATTTGTTACTATTTATTATATATATTATATTATTATTTTATTATTATATATGTTATATATTTCTTATTATTTATTTATTATTATTATTTATTGATTATCATTTATAATTATTAATTTCCAATAATTTATTTCATTTCTTATTTTATTTTATGTTATATTTTTTGTATTATTCTTTGTGTTTATAATTTTATTTTTATGAAACTATTTTTCTATATTTTTTTTAATTTTATAAAACTAGCCATCACCACCACCACCGGCATCGATCATATCTCAGCAAGCTATCGTCAAGTGAACTGATCATAGAAAAAGGAGAGGAGTACCGGAAGGAATCAGAGCGAAAGAGCTTCGTTGAGGATTAGAGCTCGTACCTGATGGATGGCGTCGATGTCGTCCACGTGCGTAGGGGACGCAATTACACTGCCTACACTCATACTCACGTCAATTTCTGACGCCATAAATTTCCAAAGTGGGGCGGCGATTTGCATTTTGAAATATCTGTTTGTTTATTTGTTGTCTGTTTATCTCTTTGGTCTCTCACCACAGTGCTTTGTTCCTCGCTATGCGGATTCCAGTACTTCTGGCATTCAATCCGTTTTTTGTCTTCTTCTTGAGCGGAGTGGAATATTGGTTGAGAGAGACTCCTCGTAATACCGAGGATAGCTTTGCTGTGGCGTTATCGGGCGTTGTTGTTTGCTGTTGGAGAGAGCTGGGGGTGGAGCTTGGCTCCATGCGCCCCGCGACAAGCATCACAACCACTCGGCCACGACGGTCCCATTTATTATTGTTCATTTGTACCCAGTCACCGCCACCACTACCATCAGCCACATCTCACTCAGCCGTCGTAAGATAAAGTGATAGAGCAGAAAGATGAGCGAGAGTGGGAAAGAGAGGGAGAGAGGAAGAGAGAGGGAGAGAGAGAGATGGAGGGAGCGATCGAGGAGCGGAGCTTGCAATTACGTGGAGAGATCACACCACAAATGGCGATTATGTCGTCTGCGTGCGCTTAAGACGCAATTCACTGGAAACAATTAGGTTTACGTGAATTTCTTCGTACTGTATTTTAATTCAGAAGCTGCCGATGATTTGCACTTTTATTTATTTATTTAGAGCGCATGTGGCGCAGTGGTTAGAGGTGCCCTGCGTCGCACACGAGGTCAATGGTTCGATCTCGCTCTCATGGCTCACCAAGCCATCCATCCCTCCGGGGTCGGTAAATTGGTACCAGACAGGTCTCAGACTTGTTTGGGAGGATAAGCAGAACTGACTCGGTTCAGCTGGAGGCCTCCTAGAGTCATTGTAAAGGCCAGATATGCATTCAATCACCTCAAACGAAGTTAAAAATTGAAGTCGAATGCATGGCGCATCCCTCAGGGATTGATCAACGCCGAGGGCTTTATCCTTTTTTTATAGTTTTTATTATAATTCACTTTACTCTTCTCATCTGCTGTACTGACATCAGCGCTTCTTATAATCCATATGGATTCTCTGTTTGTCCTGCGTAAGTACTCTGTTTTTTAATGTAACCTTTTGAGGACCAGCGTCGAGAGGCACGCGGCGTCGCGTCTCGTGGAAGCGACGATGCGACGCGGCCCATCACAGTGGCTGAGTGAGATCTGACGCTCTGCTGTGGGAAGCGAAATGACTCTCATGGTCCTTAGCCGGTTGACCTCTGCGGACCCCCGCTGGGCGTGTCCACCAGCGTGGGAACGACGCCACCTCATCTGCCCCCTTTAGTCGCCGACTACAATACATCTAATCGTTGCGATACCCGCAGCTAAGTTGTGGTTCCGCGGTCCGCAGTAGTCAAGGGATTAAAGGGATAAACTCTTAATTATATTACCCCGCAATGTTATGTTGCAAATATATATCCAAGAATGTTGAGTGGTATACATGTCACTGCTAGAAGAGCAACAAAATAATCGATTCGCATAGATCATATCGGGGTCTGTAAAAAGTTTGTGCCGTTTTTGTTTTCACAATGTGATTGCTGCAATGAAATTGCATGGTATTTGTATCATTCAATTGTGCATTTTCTTGTGGACATTTTGGTATACAACTTGCTCATACTTGTCTAAAGATGAAGCTGTCTGGGGAACAGATTCGCTTGCTACTCATGCCCGAATGTCGTTTGGGGTGAGATGCTAGTTAAGTTAGTGGAGCTTTGGGCGATGATACTTGCAGGAACGACGGCTAGGAAGTGGTTCGCGAAAGCTGGAGAGAACAGTTGAAAGGATCAGTCTCGCCCGGGCCGTCTACAAAAAACTTCATTGATCTTGGGCAAGGCCTCATTAGCATTATACCCTACACGCCACTCAGGCATCAAGTAGCAAGCGAATTTGTTCCCACGACAGCTCCGTCTTCAGGTAAGTATGGGCAAGTTGTATACCAAGATGTTCACAAGAAAATGCGCAATTAAACGATACCAAAATCAGACAAATTCGTTGCAAAAATCTTATTAAAAAGCCAAAACGGCGCGAACTTTTTACACAACCTACACATAACCAATTCCTGTCGGCAATGACTGGGTTTAATGCCAACGTGTGCAAACCCGATCAAACCTGTTAAAGATTGGTTGATGACAGAGACGATAGGATGCTTAAGGGAAGTGATAGCAAAGCGGTGACATTAGTAATCTGGTGTGGTAGCACACCTCACGGTATGCGCGAAATGCGAGTTCGACTCTTGCCTGGGGTCAAATTTTTTGCTTACCACTCGATATCGATGTTCTTGAATATACGCTTCCTCTAACATATGATTCGTTTTCCTCGCGCATTCCGCCTCTGTAATCGTTTCCGCGTGTTTTCGTGTTGTTTCGACTGCTTCTTGTAGATTTGTTTGTTTTCATAAATGTCGTGAAATACCTGTCTATTCAGCTTTTCTTACGAGCTTGTAAATTGCTGAACTAAGGCGGTTCCCCGAGTATTGCAGAAGAGCACTGGGAGAGGAGGTGGAACCACCACATCGCTTTTTGATTACCTACATCAATAACCACCTTGATGTGCCCACCACCCTCACCGATTTTTCTGTTTTATATTCGCTATTTGATCCGTCTGTTTTTCTTCACCTGTGCGGATCCCAGCTCTTCTAGCATCCAATTCGTTTTTTTTGTCTTCTTGAACGTCGTAGTACACTGGTTGAGTACTTCTTGCAGTCTCAAGGACAGCCTGGCTCTGGCACGGCTCTCCATAGGGCAGCGAGAGACGTCGAAACTTTAGCCGAATGAGACATTTTGCTAAGCTCAGATTGCTCAATAACTCAAAAGCGCGTCATTAGGTTATCTAAGGTCATTGATGTGCGCATGGAGAACATGGTTGTATTCTAGAAATTCTCTTTGTTTCTTTGTCTCATAGGTTTTCGTAATTTCCATATCTCAAATCTTGCTTGCCGCTTGCTTTTGTCTCAAAAGAGTTTTTCCCAAGGATTACGTTCCTATTTCATTGCCACAGTTCTCATTGGCTCGTATAAGTTGTGCAGAGCGAAGTGGATATGGTCGTGGACTAGAAGAGAGTAACCATAGGGTATTTCGATCCCCTCTCGAGATTTCTTGAACTGCCTACAGTGACCATTGCCGATGTACTTGTCCGAGTTTCAGTGTGGGTCCGCCGTGAGCAGCTTGGTCCACCTCAAAGTTTGTTTTCAAAGTTACCTAGCTGTTAGCCACCAATTTCTAATGGAATTGATGAGGCAATCAAACCGCTCATGGCTCACCAAGCCATTCATCCCTCCGGGGTCGGTACATTGGTACCAG